GAGGAGTCAGCTCTCGAGGTATAATACAATTCCCCAACATTTCCCCCAAGGCTTTAATTAAAAATAATAGACAAGGACACTGCAATCTTGGACAACCTAATTTTGTTAACTCCCCTATTGCATTCTTTTGTTACAGAAAGCATTCTGGTGCTCCGACTCAGAGGAGTAAAAAAACAATATTGATTTCAACCAATCTGAAGTAATTTTATTCTGCCCAGTCCAGAGCAGAGCAAAACCTGATGGCAGTTTGCAGCTGGATGCATAGCTTCATTTCAAACGCAGGCAGACATTTAATTTGTACAATAAAGAGCTGTAATTTTCAAAATAGCAAGCTGAATTTTTTTTGTTCTTCTTGTTAAAGAGTTTCCCTGCCCGGGAGAGGTTTGCAGGGCTTACCCACGGGTGGGTTCGCGCGGGGCAGGAGCCAGCGCCGCAGCGAAATCTGCCCGACGCAGATGCTTCGGCAGTTGTGTGTCAGTCTGATTTCTCAAAGGCTCCATCGATACGTGGATGTCGGTGTTTAAGGCAGAGAAATTCTGCATTTTCTTCATTCGTGCCTGTCCCCTCCTCCTGCTTCCTCAAAAGTCGAGAAGGGCAAATAGATAATGCTGCTTAGGTCAAAAATGTGTATGAAAATGAACGCCGTGTTCCTGTGTGGGGCTCCGTCGCCCCAGGGCGGATCGCGATTGCAGCAGTTAGATTCTTGAACAGGTCTCTGGAAAAAGCGGGCTGGGTACAGGAGCCACCGCTCCCAAACTGTCCCAAGCGGCCTCTGCTGTGACCGTGCACATGGCAAGGTGCAGATTTCAGACGCTGATTCTGTACTGTGTGACAAGATGTTCCTTTTCTCAGTCCTCTCCCCAGCAATCGTTCTCTTTACGTATCTTTATCCAGAAATTAAGGAATTAAGTTTGTCCTTCAGAAACTGCAGAATATTACCGACTCACTCCCGAGACCGGTCTTTCAGACAACTGCATCCATGAAGTAGATACGCGTGCTACTGAACCCAACTCTCCTTAAAGTCTGGGTACTTCATGATTTATATCTTTAAATGCAGAAAAGATTCTGCAGGTATGTAAATCTCTTTACAGTTGTTCCTCTTGAGACCTGACTCTAATTACACAGAGGAAATATTTTACTATTAAAAACAACAGTTATTCTTGAACAAGTTGAAAGTGAAGCAGCTTCATCCCGAACAGGTTGGGAGGCCGCGTCCCTCTCGCCGTGACTGTCTCTTGGAGTCCAGGAATAAAGGGAATGAGAGAGAGGGAAAGCTGATGCAAACTGCTCAAAGACTGCATCGCATAGATGTGAAGACCTCGAAAACGCGCTGGTGAACAGCAGCAAATAGAGCACAAACCTGAAATTCAAGAACTGAGGCACGGACTATGCCAGACCAGTATGCGTGCACCAGTCACGTTTATTGGTGCATCAACAATCTTCGCGATTCAGGGCAGGCGTTTAAGGAAATACGTTACGGCAACCGCTCTGTACTGATGAGACGCAAAGCGAACGCTATGCCACCGAATTACACTGGTACCCAAGGCTTTCAGAAGCCTTTGCTAACGCCGCTCGTTTTACTGCGATGGGAGCACGCGCTGCCCGCGTCGGTGAAAGTCCCTGCTCAATGGCTGTTCGGCGTGCGACGAGCTTCTGAAGTGCTGTCATAACCACGGGATGCGTATTTCTGCATACAATAGAACATCTTTGTGAAAGGCCACGATTGGAGCGTGTTAGGCTTTTCTTTAGTTAAAGAAGGGATTTAGTGCTGGGGAAACGACCAGACTGGCACCAGGAAACCAGAATTCCTTATTTCATTCAAGACCCAGAACTACAGAGTTGGGTAAAAGAATACCAGTAGCCCAGCTTTTAGTAAGCACGCCTCCAAGGCAAAAATTTCAGTTTCCGGGGCCCATTTAGTTACCAACCTCTGTGCTGAAGTATTCAGCCAGGAAACGAGTGCTCGTTTTAAATGGGAACGGGAAGAAGTGGTAAGGCCGTAACCCGTACCGTACAGGCTTTCTGCATTGGTCTGGAGAGGCAACGTTATTCGCTGCCAGAACCTGAGCCTCCGTCCCACACCACCTCTACTCTGAAGTATCTGTAACTTCCATCTTGCTGGATAATTAACAACAGGTGAGTGCAAATGTATTAGTGATGTTCAGCAGTTCATCCCACTAGTACCAGGATGCCATTTTTGTGATACTTCTGTAATTGTATCATTAAGGGCAGGCAAATGCTGGTAAAAAGATATTCAAAAAACCCCTAACATTTACAACATTTAGAAAAAAGGGAGTTGTACTTTAAATGTATCCGTATCTTACATTTTAAATAATGTAGACACTTTCTGTGTGGGAGAGTTGAGGAGAATCACAGAAGGTTTTCCAGCTCACAGGCAACACCACGGGTTATTTGCTCTTTGAATGAGTTTGTCAGCGTGTAACAGCATCAGCTTTTACAAAGATGAATTACAGCCGTTCAGTTGACATTTTTTAAGCAAAGAGATTTTATTTTCTAGGCAACGAAAGAAAACATCCAAGCAGTGATTTTGACACGTTTCCCTCAAATGGAACGGATTCTCTGTTAGCAGATTTCCAATGCAAACATGATATAGCAAAGCTAAACACTCTGGATTAAATAAAGCCAATTTTCAAAATACTGCAGCTGAGAAATACCAAAAAAATATTTCTACACACTTTCAGAAATCCATCCGGGATACAAAGCTAAAATCTAAGTGTTGCTCCCCAAAGTCAATGCATTTGCAAACATGGCAGACAATAAATATGTATCTTCCACTTCTGCTTCAAAGACACCCAAAGATAGTCACCTTGTACACCTCTCTGAGGTAGGTATTATGTCCATTTTACAGATGGCAAACGGTGAGGATCGGCTTCTTGTCCAAGGCGTCTCACCGCTTCAGTGTGAAAGCTGAGAATACACTTAGGATCGACAGTCTCTTGGTCTCATTCCTAGACAGTATTTCATCTCAAGTAGTTATAACACAGTGTAATCTTCATGTTCCTTTGAACTGTCAGGTATTTCTTTAGGTTTATAAGCTTCCAGAGGGCTGGTTTTAATGTTGGTTTGTTTTGGTTTGTTTTTTTTTTTTCCTAATGATAGGCTAAAAGCAAAGTGGGCTTTAACACTGGAAGCTAAGTGGCTTTCTACAGGAAACTCCCAACGGTGCTAATGTGTATTTTAATACTGAACTAAAAAGAAACCTGGTCCATAGTGCTCGTGGTGATTCTATTCTTTATACTTAATTATTCATGCTTCAATTCAGCAAAGCACTTATGTAATTATGTTCCTTCTTCAATAAGACCCTCCTGTATTTCAAGGTCCAACTGGGAGCCTCTGCTGAGAACTTCAGTGAAACGTGCTTTTTACAGAAAAGAAGTTTTTGCTGCATCAGGAGTTCAGCCAGATGCCTTAACGAATGGAGGCCTTTAAAACTGTATCTTAGCTTCCACTTGGGAAGCGGGTTTATTTCTGCCTCAGTCCAAAGATGCACGTTCTTGCTCCCCATTTGTAAAAGTGCAAGGAAGGTAACTCAAAACAGAGTAACAGAAGAGTAGCAAGCTAAGAACATTTTAAAATTCAGTAAAACAAGTATGTGTTGCAGGCATTTCAAAGAAAAAAAAAATCCCTTTCAGTAATATGCACCTTTACAGCACCTTTTAAAAGACCTCAAAAGCACTTACTGTTAAGCCTCACAACCCCGCTGTGAGGTAAGATATATTAAACCAATTTCAACTTCCCTGATTCTGAACAGTACGAGAACTAGGGCAGTTTACGCAGCTTATTTTGTTCTGACAATTAAACTGCACCCTTCATTATCAGAATTAAAGTCTTGCTCCTGAACAGTCATCGGTGACAAATCAAACACATTAAGGCAGAATGCAGATGAAGAAACTTCAAGCCTCCCTTCTGGGTTAGCACTCCGTCCTTCCAAAAAGGGCAAAACTTCTCACCGGCAGAGAGTGAGAACTATACCTTAAAGTGCTAATTTACAGTATTTGGAATCTGGTACAGCTTAGTAACACTGTGGCCATGAGATGGGCTATACCCAAGTCAAGTCTGCTTAAATGTATTTAACAGATGCAAATTAAGTCACTTCCCTAACTACTGTATTTCCCTCTTGCCAGAATTTCAGATACTATTATGAAGAAGAATCCAAAGTATTTCAAGAAACATGCCTATGTTCTGATGCAGTGTAAACACCAGGGGGTTGATAGTTATTTTTCAAGCAACTAAAAACTACCTACAGAGGATTAATAAGTTTATTCAACACTTAACCATCTACTCATTAATTTAAAGAAGGCTATCTTAAAGCTTAGAGGCCATTTCTTTCTCTAAAGCCAGGACTTCACACAAACAATACAGTCTACTTCTGATGGTAACAGTATAGGGCAGCTTTGGAGACACTCT